GGAAGCTCCCAGCCTCCATCGCCTCGGTGCTGGGGGTGTCAGTCGAGGGGGACCTGCCTGCCCAGGGTGCTCCCCCTGGAAGGATTCCCTTTCCCCCTCCTCCTCACCCGGAGGCTCCGGGTCTAGTCCTGGTGTCACCTCGCACCCGGCTCCCAGCACAGCAGGATGCAACGGCCCGTATTGGGGTGAGGAACCCGAAAGTGCTGGATTTAAGCCCAGAGCCAAGGCTGCAGTTCCTCTGGACTCAGAATGGCTTCTCCCGGAGCTGGATGTCCCTTGCCATAAGCCCAGCACGGGCACACGGTGCTGCTGTCCCCGTGATGCCCCTGGTTCTGCCCTGGCACACACCGGCCACAGGGACAGGGTGACACGAGTGGCTCATAGCTGTGGGAGGACAGGGTGACACAGGGAGGTGACACGTGGGTGTCATAAGAGGGACTCAAGAACGGGGCGGTGGGAAATGGAGTGACCGATCCCTGGCCCGTGGAGCTGCGCCGATGCCGGTGGCGGGTGATGCCGGTTCCGGTGCAGCACTGGAGCCGCTGTCGGTGCTGCCGGTGCAGCAGCTGTGCTGCGGTGCCTGTGATGATGCCCGTGCCGGTGCAGCACTGGTGCCGCTGATGCCGGTGCTGTCGGTACCGGTGGTGCCGGTCATCACTCCCGCAGTGCGGGGCTGGGGCCGGTGCCAGGTGCTGCCGGTGCGGGGCGGGTCCCCGGTGGCTGCGGGCGGAGCCGGAGCCGGTGCCGGTGCCGGTGCCGGGGGCGGTGCCGGTGGTGCCGGTGCCGGGCGGGGCCCCCGCGGGCTGCGGGCGGTGCCGGCCCCGCCGCGGTATAAAGGGGCCGCTCGGGCCGGGCTGGGCGCACAACGGCGGCGGTGGGTGGGGAGCGGCGGTACCGGTACCTACACGGTGAGTCCCGGCTCCTCCTTCTCCCTCCTGGCCCCTCTGGTCCGGCTCGGGGCTCTCCTGCGGCGCTGCGAGACCGGCGGCGGTACCGGGGGCTACGGGGCCGGAGGTAGCGGGTAGCCGGGAGCGCCGGGGGCTGTGGGACCGGGAGGAGTCGGGAGCGCCGGGGGCTGCGAGGCCCCGCGGAGAGGCTGGGGGGGCTGCTCAGGGGCTCTGCTGGCCGCACGGGTGTTCCTGGGGCTGGCTCTGCGCCCTGCCCACATCCCCGCACGTGCTCGTGCACCCCCCGACATGCCCGCACCCCCTGCCCGCACCCGCGCGCAGCTCCGCAGTCCCGTCTTGCCCGCGCTGCCTGTTCCCGCGTCTCCATCTCGCCGCGGGGAGGGAATCTGGGTGCTGCCATCCCCGCAGCCGGGGGTCCCGCCACAGGCAGTCGTCGTGGTCTGGGGCTTTGGGTGGCTGTAATTTCCCCGGGGACACCCCGGTCCCTGGCGTCCCTGTGCCCTTCCCTGTCCTCCAGCTCGGATATCGCTTGGGAGCAGCCGTGCTTGGACAGGGGGTGCTGGCACTGCGCACTGTGGGGTGCTTGGGACCTCCACACCTCACCTGCCACCCTGCACGGTGGGGTGCTTGGGACCCTCACACTACATCTGGCCCCATGGAGACACTGGGAAGGTGTCACCCCCAAAACAGTGACCAGCAAGGGACAGGGTGGCCATCGGGTAGCAAAGAAGCAGGGTCTTCCAGCTTCTGTGTTATGGGGGGCCCTGGTAGGGAGCATGTCCCCCTGTCCCTTTCCTGATGCTCCTTGGTGTTCCTTCAGATGCCAGGGAGCCTCTCCACGGCCCTGCGTGTCGTGGGGACCAGCCTCTTTGCCGTGGCGGTGCTGGGGGGAATCCTGGCTGCCTACGTCACAGGGTACCAGTTCATCCATACGGAGAAGCACTACCTCTCCTTCGGGCTCTACGGGGCCATCCTGGGGCTGCACCTCTTCATCCAGAGCCTCTTTGCCTTCCTGGAGCACCGGCGCATGCGGGGCGAGGGGCGGCCGGTGCGGCCAGGGCGCTCCGTGGCCCTTTGCATCGCTGCTTTCCAGGAGGATCCCGACTACCTGACGAAGTGCCTGCGCTCTGTCAAGCGCATCGCCTTCCCTGACCTCAAAGTGGTGATGGTGGTGGATGGAAACGGCCCTGATGACACCTACATGCTGGACATCTTCCACGACGTAATGGGCTCCGAGCGCTCAGGCAGCTACATCTGGAGGAGCAACTTCCATGCACAGGGCGAGGGGGAGACGGAGGCCGGGTTGCGGGAAGGGCTGGCCCATGTCCAGGCGCTGGTGCGCAGCAACACCTACTCCTGCATCCTCCAGAAGTGGGGCGGGAAGCGGGAGGTGATGTACACGGCCTTCCGGGCGCTCGGAGACTCTGTGGACTACATCCAGGTGGATGCATGGGCTGGGGGGACGTGGGCAGTGAGTGTCCTGACTGCAGTTGGGCAGAGGGGCTGTGGGTGGGATGGGAGCAGCCCTGGGAGCTTACAGGAGCGCTTGGGTGCCTGGATGTGGCCCCATACACTGCCCCTGAGCCACTGACACTGGGGGTGACTGGCACTGGGGTGGCCAAGGGGTCAAGCTCTGTCTGCAAGGGTCCCACATCACCTCCTCAGCACATGCCCTGGCATGGTGTCACTGGTTGGGACAGCGTAGCACAGTGCAGGGTGCTACGTCCCCAGGGTGGCTGGGACAGGTCCTCCATCAGTTCCGCAATGGGTGTCTTGGGGCAGTGGTGTCCAGGCACCACAGGGTGCTCCACTCCCTGCCATCGCCTGCCGGCCTCCAGGGCCCTGCCTGGTCTCGCCAGGCTCGGGCTTGCCCGGCTGTGGGCTGGGCTGTCTGCCAGGTGCATGTGGGCGGCGGGAGCGGGGCTCGACGTTCCCTCTGCCCCCAGGTGTGTGACTCAGACACGGTGCTGGACCCCGCCTGCACTGCCGAGATGCTCCGCATCCTGGAAGCTGACCCCCATGTCGGTGGCGTCGGTGGCGATGTGCAGGTACCCCTGTGTGAGGGAGGGCACCCCAGGGCGGCGAGGCAAGGGCAGGGCTGGGAGTGTCGGGGGCTGCAGCAGTGCCAGAGCTCACATCCATCCCCTCTCCAGATCCTGAACAAGTACGACTCGTGGCTCTCCTTCCTGAGCAGCGTGCGGTACTGGATGGCCTTCAACGTGGAGCGTGCGTGCCAGTCATACTTCGGGTGCGTGCAGTGCATCAGCGGCCCACTGGGCATGTACCGCAACACCCTCCTGCAGCAGTTCCTCGAGGACTGGTACCACCAGACCTTCCTGGGCAGCAAGTGCAGCTTCGGGGACGACCGGCACCTCACCAACCGTGTGCTCAGCCTGGGCTACCGGACCAAGTACACGGCTCGCTCCAAGTGCCTGACGGAGACACCCACACGGTACCTGCGCTGGCTCAACCAGCAGACCCGCTGGAGCAAGTCCTACTTCCGTGAGTGGCTCTACAACGCACTGTGGTTCCACAAGCACCACCTCTGGATGACCTACGAGTCAGTGGTCACTGGGTTCTTCCCCTTCTTCCTCATTGCCACCGTCATCCAGCTCTTCTACCGTGGTCGCATCTGGAACATCCTCCTGTTCCTGTTGACGGTGCAGCTGGTGGGTGTCATCAAGGCCACCTACGCCTGCTTCCTGCGTGGCAACGCCGAGATGATCTTCATGTCCCTCTATGCTCTCCTCTACATGTCCAGTCTGCTGCCTGCCAAGATCTTTGCCATCGCCACCATCAACAAATCGGGCTGGGGCACCTCGGGCCGCCGCACCATCGTGGTGAACTTTGTGGGGCTGCTGCCAGTGTCAGTGTGGGTGGCAGTGCTGCTGGGTGGGCTGGCCTACACTGCCTACAGCCAGGACCTCTTCAGCGAGACCGAGGTGGTTTTCCTCATTTCGGGTGCCATCCTCTACGCCTGCTACTGGGTGGCCCTGCTCGCCCTCTACCTGGCCATCATCGCCCGCCGCTGTGGCAAGCGGGAGGAGCAGTGCGGGCTGGCCTTCACTGAGGTCTGACCGCAGAGTGGTGCCATGTGCTGGGGGGTTCCTGTGTGCCAGAGCAATCATCCCCAGTCCCCTCTTCCCCTATCCTGGAGCCAGGATGGTGGAAGTGCCAGGTGCTGGGCAGTGCTGGGGTGTCCCCATGTGCCAGAGCAACTATCCTAGGTCCCCTCTTCCCCCATCACTAAGCCACCAGGTGGTGGGCAGTGCCAGGGTAACTACCCCCAGCCCCCTCTTCCCCATCCCAGAGCCAATGGGCAGTGCTGAGCGCTCCCACCCCTTGGCATTTCTCAGCAAATCTTGAAATATTGCTAATTTTTTTATTAATATGTTTTTTTCCTTATCATTTCTCCATCCCAAGCTGGCTGTGGAGAAGCTGAACCAGGGCTGCCCATCACCCTGCTGGGTGCCACCGGCCACATCCCTGCTGTGCCCTATGGAGCATCCTGGTGCCAAGCGCTGCTGGCTGCGCTCCCCCCACCCCAATCCAGAATTTTCCACCTCTCGGTGCTTTTTACAGGGATTTCAGTCCCATCTCCACGGTGCTACAGCACTTCCCAAACCCAGGACACGCTGTGTCTGTCTGTGCGGTGCCAGCACTGCTGGATGGTGCTGCCTCTGCCCCACGGCTGCGTGCGGGCACGTACCCACGGGGAGCCCCTCCAGCCCTTTTTGGGGAGGGGTCTGGCTGCTCCAGGAGGGCAGCAGGACCCTTCAGCTTTGCCAAAGAGCCAATGGAGGAATCCTGGTGTGGAGAAACTGGGAAAATGGGGGGAGCTATGGGTTGTGTGGAGCACTACCCCCAGAGGGGCTGTGGTGAAGCTCTGGCCAATTCATGGCCCCATCATTCCCACCCTGCTGCCTTCCCAGCAGTAGGAAGACGCTGGGATTTAGGCAAGGTGCTTCCTAACCTTTCCCCTCCCAAAGGAATTCACCTCTGGGTCCTTTTTTTCAGGACTTGGATGAAAACTCCTTTCTACAGTGGAGCTTTTAGCTGTTTTTTGTTTAATTTAATACAAGGTTTTTTAGGAGACTTTTGTAGCTCTTTGGTATTGTTATGGATGGTTTGTAAATCTATTTATTTTTGAACCTGCCAGGGGGATCTTTTTCATATTTTAGGGGAAAAAACTGGTTTTTATATCCTGATGGAGTTGGGGAAATAAAGACTCGCATCAAAGATGTGTGCTGTGTTGTGGGGAGGGGTCCTGGTCCCTCTGCCCTGATTTGAGGGAGATTGGGACTGAGTCCCTGTCTGGCACTGGTATCCCCACAGATGCAGGGAAGGGTAGAGGGGGACTTCTCCACCCTGGCACCTCCATGAGTCCCTGAGAACTGCTGAATCCAGCCACTGAGGGCAGCCCCTAGATAGGACACCCCTGCATGGGCTCACAGGAGGTTCCTGCCCCTCAGGAACCAGGTTCCCTGGACAGACCCACATGGTCTGTGGCTCTCAGAAAAAGAGTCGTTTTGAGGGGACAAGTGACGCAGGAAGGGCTCTGGATGCCCAGACACAGAACTCAGCACCCTGAGTGTTCCCTGTTCAGGACAGGAATGAGGTCCTGGATCTTTCTCAGTCCTTGATGTTCTTCCCAGCAGCAGAATGAAGTTCACAGCCCCCATCCATCCCCCTCACACCTTCTTGGGCACGTGGGTGATGATGGGCTTGGGGCGGGTTTTGAAGAGCAGTTTGGTTTTGATGAGGGCGGTGACGGTGTAGTGTCCCTGTGGCTCCCCAGGGCTGGGCTGGGGGGCTCCTGCCTGCTTCACCAGCACAGCAAATGGCTTTTCCAGCTGCACCACCTTTCCATAGAGGATGTGGTGACCCACGATGAGCACAGGGATGCCCTGGGGAGAGCGGAGGGTGAGGGTGGGCAGGGCCAGGCTGTCCAGGGTCCCCAGGGGGGACCCCAGTGCCACCTGCCTCACCTCGCAAGTGTAGTGCAGATCTCCTAGGAGGCTCCCGGCCAGGTTCCCGCTCTGCCGGGGCTCTACCTCGCCCTGCAGCTCCACCAGCACCCACTGTGCCAGGGCCCCGGTGCCACTGCTGTAGGAAAGACAGGGGGTCACCCATGGAGGGTCACTCGGGGCCTGTCCGTGCCAAGGCACAGGCCTGCAGGGGCTGGACCCCAGGGGTCTCACCTGGAGATGACGATCTGCACCATGTCAGGTCCTGGGGGAGCTGTAGAGACACAGGCAGAGTGTGGGGCAGGGCCTGCTACCCTGGGGTGCCCAGGCTGAGCTCCTGCCCATGGGCCCCACAGACGCCATGTCCAGACCTTTCCCGGGCCCCACAGATCCACCCATTACCCCCAGGCGGGTCCTGTAGCCCCCTCGGGCCCACAGCCCCCCTTGGCCAGACCGTAGACCCACTCCTTCCCCGGGCCCTGCAGCCCCCCACGCCCAGACTCCCCCCACGCGGTGCCCCGCAACGCCCCGGTGTCGCTGCCCGGTTGAGCGAGGCGCTGGTGCCCTCCAGCGGCGCCGGTGCGGCGGGGCCTGGCCGGGCCGTTCGGGGGCCGGGCTTCCTCCCGTTCACCCTCTCCGCCCGGCCCGGACCGCCCCCGCCCCTCTCCCCCCGCGCCGCTCCCGCCGTTCCCGCACCCGCCGCGAATCTCCCGCCGCGCCGCCGCTTCCGCCTCCGGTCACGTGCGGCCCCGGGGCAGCCCCGGTTCCGGTGCCGCGCGCACGTGGGGCGGAGCGGGGCCGGGAGCGGGGCCGGGAGCGGGATCGGAGCGGGGCCGCCGGGCGCGATGGGCGAGTTCGAGGTGCACCGGGTGCGATTCTTCGGGCTGGTGCCCGCGGGCGTGCGCTGCCTCGCCTGCCAACCCCGCGGCTCCCGCCTGGCGCTGGCCCGCACCGACGGCGCCGTCGAGGTGTACAACTTCGCCGCCAACTACTACCAGGAGAAGGTGAGGGCGCCGGCACGGGCCGAACCGGGCCGTGCTGGACCTGTATCGAGCCGTATTGGGCTTCAGCGAGTTTGTACCGGGCCCGTACCGAGCTTGTACTGGGTCTGTACCGAGCCGAACCGGGCCATGCCGAGGCTGCGCCGGGCTTTACTTGGCCCTGCCGATCCGCACTGCGCCGTACAGGGGCTGTACCGGGCTCTGTTGGGCCGTGCCGGGGTGTGACGCCCGCCCCTCCGCAGGTGATCCCCGGGCACGACGCGCGGGCGGTGGAGTCGCTATGCTGGGCTGCCGGGGACCGGCTGTTCGGGGCCGGGCTCAGCGGGGACATCACCGAATACGACCTGTCCCGGCTGAGCGCGGCCCGCGGGGCCGACGGCGGCGGGGGGCCCATCTGGAGCATGGCGGCGAACAGCACCGGCACCCAGCTGGCGGTGAGTCCCGCCGGGAACGGCACCGGGAACGGCACCGGGAGCGGCGGCAGGGGAGAGGGGTCCTCCCGTGCCGCCGGGCTGATCCCGACCTCCTGCAGATCGGCTGCGAGGACGGTTCTGTTAAGATCTTCCAAGTCGTTCCTGGAGGGATCCAGTTCGAGCGGAACCTGGACAGGCGGAAAGGTGAGTCGGGCAGCAGCACCGTCCCTTTGTCCTCCCTGATGTCTCAGTGACCGAGGGGCTCTGAGCCTGTGGGGTCACACCTGGAGCTTCCTTCCCCAGGTCGTGTGCTGTGCCTGTCCTGGCACCCCTCAGACACCCACATCGCCGCTGGCTCCATCGATGTCTTCCGCATCATTGACATCGCTTCAGGTACCTCCTGCCCCAGGGGGTGACCCTGGCCTGCCCTACAGCACTGCCAGCACCCATCGGCCCCCTGTGCTCTAGGGGGATCCTTGGCCACCCCAACTGTCCTCCACGTGCAGGTCAGACTGTGCAGAGGATCATGGTGAACTACCACGTGGAGAAGGTGAAGCGCGAGTGCGTGGTCTGGGCCATCGCCCTCCTCTCCAGAGGCACTGTGGTCACCGCTGACTCCTTTGGGAGGGTACAGTTCTGGGACTGGCAGCAGGGCACGCTGGCAGAGTCCCACGCTGTCAGCACCTCGGCTGTGCTCTCGCTGGCCGTGGCAGAGGTTGGTGAGATCCCCATGTCCTCCCTCAGCTGACAGGAGTCTGTGGCAGGAGCTGCCAGGCTCGGTCCCTCCCGATGGTGCACTCCCTCTCTTCCCAGTCTGCTCCCACAACCCCATTCCTGTTTTTGTCCCCAGAAAGAGGACAGCATTGTCGTGGGTACCTCGACTGGAGCCACCTACCAGCTGCAGCTGCTGCCGGTGAAGCTGGGTGGATCGGAGAAGCGCTGGGTGCGGACCAAGCCCTTCCAGCACCACAGCCATGATGTGCGGGCCGTGGCACACAGCCCCACTGCCCTCATCTCTGGGGGTAGGACTGCCAGGGGCACCGGGACAGGCTGGATCTCCCTTCCTGGTACCGGCTTGGCTGATCCCTGTTTGGCTTCCAGGCCTGGATGCCCAGCTAGTGATCCGCCCGCTGATGGAGAAGGTGCAGAAGAAGGGCTACGATGCAGTGCTCCGAAAATTCACCTTTCCCCACGTGAGTGACACTTAGAGTGGTGTCTTGTGGCTGATAGGGCAGGTGGGCAGGGCTGGATCTTTCGACAGGAGAAGCTGGATCTCCTTTCCCCTCTGGGTGCCCTCCTTGCTCTGACAGGGTCCCTTCCCTGCCACTTGGGTCCCTTACCTGACCCATTGCATCTTCTTCCTTGGACCTGGTACGTCTGGAGGCTTCTGCAAAGAATGGGAGAAGTTGGCAAGCTGGTCTTGCTGGTCCTACCAGGTTTCCATTTCCAGGCTCCTATCCTATGGAGCCTGTTCTTCCCCACCTTGGAGTCTCCAGCACCCCAGGGTGTTGGTGGTGCCTCAGCCCATTGTACCAGGCTGTGGGTCCATGACAGCCTGACCATTTCCATGACATCCTGCCTGTTTCTCCGCACAGCGACGTCTTGTCTCCTGTGCCAGGAAGGCCCGGCTGCTCCTCTTCCAGTTCTCCCAGCACCTGGAGCTCTGGAGACTTGGCTCCACTAGAGAGACTGGTGAGTTGCAGGTGCAGCTCTCCAGTGTTGGCCCTGTGGCAGAGCCTTTGCTGCCCCAGAATTTTGGGATTGAGCTGTCCTGTACCTCAGGGAAGGGTCTGGTTACTCCCCCAAGGATCCCTAGCTGCCCAGCAGGACCTCTGTGGTTTTCCCACCATCACTGATGCTCCGTGTGCTTTCTCGTCCCAGGAAAGGATGGCGAGGTCCTTCCCTTGTGCCGCATGCCCGAACACCTCGTGCAGCTCAAGAGCAAGGTAGGGCAGAGCGGGTCAGGGGTCCCCCTTGGAGAGAGGCACATGGTGGCTCTGGGAGTCCCCCCGGGCTTCTCTAACCCTGCGGCTTTCCCAGGGCCCAGAGCACATCTACTGCAGCTGCGTCTCACCCTGTGGCACCTGGCTCGGCTACTGCACCGCCTCCCGGTTCCACCTGTACCGCGTGCGCTGCGACGGCATCAGCCTTAGGAAGGTCAGGAAGGGTGGAGGGGGCTGCAGGGTCACGGGGGGATGGCATGGTCAGTGTCACGGTGATGACAGCGGTAGGTGGCACTGGGGTCCTGGTGGGCTGGTATGTCCTCGGGTGGTTGTCATGGCCAGTGTCATATGTAGGGAGCACTGGTAGCAGTGGGGTGGCTGCCAGGGCTGTGTTCTCCCCAATCCCAGGTCCCCAAAGTGCCCAAGCTGCTGCTTCCAGCCTATCAGCTCCAGTTCTCTGCCGACTCCAACAGCCTCTTCGTCGCTTCTGCTCGAGGATCTGTCCATGTGCTCCAGCTGCTGGAGCCGGGAAGCTGCAAACACCTGCACACGCTTCGGCCACCCTCAGGTGTGGGCTGAGGGAAGCTGGGGGTCCCTGGCATCTGTGTCCCCTCCCCACTGTGGGTGTAGAGAGGAATGTGTGTTCCTCTTTCATGTCATGGGTTGTGTGTGGGTCCTTCCTGTGGGTGTTTGAGCCACCCTCATGACCTGGCAGCAGATGGGCAGGGGGAATGTGGGTCTGGGTGTCCCCTGATGGGATGTGGGGCTCCAACACCTCTTACAGCTGGAGGGTCTCCACAGGGTGCTCCGAGGCTGTTTACCTGCTGGCGCCAAGCACAGATGGGCACTGGCTGGCAGCTGTCAGTGGGGACTGGGCCATCCATGTCTACAATCTGAAAAGCTTCAAGGTGGGTTTAGAAGTGACCCTTGCTGCCCCCCTGCCTTGAGGGACAGGAGGCAGGAGGCTTAGCGGGCAGGGCCCCTCCCTGGGAGCCATCACTGTGTCCCCGGAGCAGGGCTGGGGTGGGTGTCTGGGAATGGGGGTCAGAGGTGGCCCTGGGGGCTCCACTTTGGGGATGGGTGTGTGGGGAGAGGGATCAGAGGCAGCCCCGGTGGGTCCCATCAGCACACTGTCCTTCCTGCAGCATCACTGCGTGGTGCCCAGCTACAGCTGTGCAGTGTCAGCCCTCGCCATCCACCCCAGCACCAACAACCTCGTCATTGCCTACTCGGACCAACAGGTAGGAAGGAGCTCACCCCGTTCAGCCCTCTTGGCCCTGATCCTGTCCCTGCCCTCAGGGCTTTCCAGACCGGCTCTGGACCTATCTGGCTGTTGCTGGAGCTGCCTGTATGCTGGTGTGGGGGTGATGCCAGGCAGGAGCAGAGCCCCTGAGCTGCCCCGTGTCCCCCCTTGTGCCTGTGCAGCTGGTGGAGTTCAGCATCCCCGAGCAGCAGTACACAGCCTGGAGCCGCACGGTGCAGAGACGGGGACTGCACCGCTGCTGGCTGGAGCGGGACACGCCCATCACCCACATCACCTTCAATCCCAAGAACCCCTCGCACATCCTGCTCCACGACACCTACTTGTTCTGCGTCCTGGACAAGTCCCTGGTGAGCCTTGGGGTGCCCAGGGCCTGTCCCTGAGGGAGGGGTGGTGGCCTGGACAGCACTGACTTGGGCCATGCCTGCTACCCACAGCCCCTGCCTGATGACAGCACCCCCCTGATGAACCAGAGCACCCTGAAACAGCTCCCAGAGACGGCCAGGAAGCGGCAGCTCCATGCATTCAAGATCTGCAAGAAGTTCCAGGTGGGTAATGGTGCCGAGGAGCCGGGTCAGGAGGGTGTTCAGGTCCTGGAGAGGGACTTTGGACAAAGGGCAAGGGGTAGTGGCTTCCCACTGACAGTGAACGGGGTTAGATGGGATACTGGGAAGGAATTCTTCCCTGTGAGGGGAGTGCCTGTGAGGCCCTGGTGCATGTTGCCCAGAGAAGCTGTGGCTGCCCCATCCCTGGAAGTGTCCAAAGCCAGGTTGGACAGGGCTTGGAGCAGCCTGGGCTGGTGGAAGGTGTCCCTGCCAGCAAGACGGTCTTTCAAGTCCCTTCTCACCCAAAGTATTCCATGATTCTGTGATTCCCACATCCTGCCCTGCAGCCCCTGCTCTTTGCGGATCTGCTGGACGAGAACTCCCTTGTTGTGGTGGAACGACCCATCATGGACTTCAAAACCCAGCTGCCTCTGCCTGTCCAACAGAAGAAATTTGGCACCTGAGAGTGGAACAGGCTGCTCCAGCCTTAGGAACTGTCTCTGTGTTGCTTTTCTGGGACACTGTAGAAATTTTCTTAGGGTGCTGTAGGAATAAAACCTCTCTGTTCTGTACAGATCCGGGCTCAGGGCTCATCCGTGCCATGTGAGACTCCCTGTTGTCAAACCACCCTGTCACCCTGATCCTTTTATCCCTCTGGTTCTCCTCTTCAAAGCTGCGGGGACAAGGTGACACCCCAAATTCCAAACTTCATCCCTGTCAGTGTCTAATCCCAACGCTGGCTTCTCTCTCTCCCCCCAGCAGCTTTGTGGGTCCGTGGGTGCTGTGTGGCACAGGGGAGCCTCATTCCCTGAGGACGGGACTCTGTGGGTGCTGCCTGGTGTGGGGAAGCCTTATTCCCTAAGGATGGGGGGGAGTCTGTGGGTGCTGCCTCATTCCATAAGGATGCAATCTGTGGATGCTGCATGGGGCAGGGGAGCCTCCTTCCTTAGGAATGGGTGTCTGTGGAGCCTCATTCACTAAGGACAAGGTTCCGTGGGTGCCACCTGGAGTATGGAAGCCTCGGGATGGGGCTCTGTGGGATGTTGCGTGGGGGCCGGGAAACCCCATTCCCTAAAGATGGAGGGAAAGAAGTTTGAGATCCCCTGGGAATGAAGGAGACGTGAAGCGAAAGGGGAGGGGAGGGGGAAGTTAGCTACGCTTGAAATAAATCGCAGCGCGCGAAATAAATCACAACTCCAGACATGGCGCGCGGGGGCGTGGCCCCCACGCCCACTCCCACGCAATTGGTCACACCGGTGGGGTGGGCGGGGCGTCCCCACCCCGTCCCCCCGTCCCCTCGAACCTACCGCAGCGCGCCATGCGGGCGGGGGCGGGGCGGAGAAAGCCCCACCCCTTACAGAAGCCCCGCCCCTTCTCCCGGTGACCACCGGCGGCGGCGGCTGCGACGGCATGGCCGTGTGGACCCGGGCTTGTAAAACGGGGCTGCTGGAGCTGCTCCTCCGGGAACGTTGGGTCCGCGTGTCGGCGGAACTGACCGGGGAGACCCTGAGCCTAACGGCGGAACCGGGCGCCGGGGATGCATCGGTGGTGAACGGCGTGGTGAACGGCAACGCGGAGGCGGCGGCGGCGGCGGCGGCGGCACCCGGTTGCGTGAGGAGGGTGCGGGTGGTGAAAGCGGAGGCGGGAGGGCTCGGGATTAGCATCAAGGGAGGTCGGGAGAATCGGATGCCGGTGCTGATCTCACGGATCTTCCCGGGATTGGCGGCGGAGAGGAGCGGAGCGCTCCAGTTAGGCGACGCCATCCTCGCCGTGAACGGCGTCGATCTCCGCGATGCCACCCACGATCAAGCCGTGCAGGCGCTGAAGAGAGCCGGCAGAGAGGTCATCCTCGAAGGTAACGCCTAAACCCCCTCCTCACCCCCTCGAATCCCCCGTACGGGCCTCCGGTGCTACCCCATCCCCCCGGTGCTCCCCTCGCCGTTACCGGGTCCCAACACACCCCTTTGCCGCTGTCACCGGGCTCCCCGACCGTCCTTGGGTCCCTTTTCCGGGTGCGGGACGCCACTCCCCTCACCCCAGAGTCCCGGCACGTGTGTGTGTGTCCCCGAAACCACCAACCCCGGTGTGCCCCCTCTGGCACGGGGACAGGGACTGGGGGTGTCCTCTCCCTGGTCGGAGTGTTCCCTCTGCGGCGGGGTGGGGACCCCTAACAGCTGGGGACAAGGACGGGACATCTCCACTGACTGTGTCCCCACAGAACAGACCTGGGATCCCTTGGGATAGACCTGGGGTTCCCCCGGATAGACTTGGGGTGCCCTGGCTGTGGTGTCCCCCTGGACAGGGTGTCCCCTCTCTTTGGTGATGGAACCTTCAGGGTGGGTGAGTTTCCCCAGAGAGGGCCATGGCCTCGGGGTTTGGTTTGGGTCTTCCCACATCCCTGTGGGCTCCGTGTCCCTGCAGGCTCTGTGTCCCCATGGTCCCCGTGCCCACGGCACAGCCAGCTCGAGACCGGCCTGACAGAGCCACCGGCTCCTGCCCGACCTGTTCCCGGCAGCCCGACAAGCTCAGGCAGGACTTGCCCAGCCTGTTGGCGCGGCATGGGGCTTGTGCCATGGGGCACTGCGAGGACACGAGCCCCCTGTGACGGAGGTCAGGGTGGCCCATGTAGGTCCGTGGTGCTACACACACTGTCCTGGTGTCCTGGCACGTCCATCTGTCCTCCAGTGTGTGATGCTGCTCCACAGACACAATGCCTGTCGGGCGCTGAGCATGGGGATGGTGCTGCTGCTTGCCTGCTTGCTCCCGGCACACTGTGCCAGCACAAGGGGACATGGGTGGGCTCCCTGGAGTGGGCACAGCTGCCATGGGGTGGCTTAGCCATGGCTGGGGTGCTGTGGGGGCTGAGGTGGAGATGTAGCATTGGGCTTGGTGCTTGGGCCATGGCCACCAGCAGAGGCAGCCAGAATCCCCATGGGACCCTATGCCGGATCCACCGCGTCCTTCCTCACGCCACCCGGCTGTTTGATCCTGTCCCTCAGGAGCCTCCAGCCCTGTGGCGTGTTTGTCCCTCGCTTCCGCCACGGGCATAGGCACTGCAGCAACCATCTCTTCCCTTCCTTTCCCTTCCTTTCCCTTCCTTTCCCTTCTTTTCCCTTCCTTTCCCTTCCTTTCCCTTCCTTTCCCTTCCTTTCCCTTCCCACTGAAACTGGGCACTGCTGGTCTGATGGCTGTGATGGGACTGTCCAGTGTCCAGCTGGCATCAGTGACCCTAGAGGGGAGCTGGGGGGACATCGGCTGTGCCATCTAGCCCTGTCCTTCCTTACCAGCCCTGGAGCCGTGATCACCCCGGCAGGTGCTAAGGCTTCTCCTGAGCCCTGTGCCAGTGGTGGAGATGGGAGTGTCAGCCCTGTCTCAGCACCTCAGTGGGGCTGGTGTTACCTATCCGGGGTGCTGGGTTTTGCCATAGGTCCCATGCCAGGGGCCTCCCCCCAGGTGCCTACAGGCCCATGTCGTGCTCTGTGGCCCTGGGGAAAGGGAGCCCTTCTGCCCCTGGGGAAGCTGTGGGCGAGGTCTGGCCTCGGACAGCACTGCCAAGGGCATGGGCGGGCACAAGTGTTGGAACACCTCGCTGGTGTTCCCTGCTGGAGGCAGGGGGCTCGTCCCAGTGGGGCCTGTGTGAACCCAGCACTGCCGTGCAGCCAGAGCAGACGCCTTCCTGCGGTGGGACGGGCGAGGGGTGCAGGTGACAGCTGGGTTTCCTTTGTGGTGAGCGCGTAGGTGGGGCAGCAGTGGCTGTGCTGGGGTGGCTGTGTCGGGGCAGCAGTGGCTGTGCTCGGGTGGCTGTGCCGTGGTGACAGTAACTGTGTGACAGTGGCTGTGCTGGGGTGGCTGTGTAGGGGCAGCAGTGGCTGTGCCAGGGCAGCAGTGGCTGTGCTGGGGCAGCTGTGTGCTAGCCACCAGCTTGCCAGAAGTAGAAGGGGTGGTTGCAGATGCCACCGCCCCACTGCCAGTCTCATGCCCACTGGCATGAGGTGCTCTATGCTCCTGCCTGCACCATGGATATGTCCCACTGAAAACTGGGAGCCATGGCTGCTGCCATCCCCACTGGCAGACACAATCCTGAGCTTCCACCAGTCCCAGTCACCAGCAGGAGCCCACGCTCCTCCGGCAGTGCCCCAGCACAGCACTCAGGCTCTGGTGCCGCTGACTGCCCAGCTTGGCCTCTCACCCTCCTGGCTCCAGGGCTCTGTTGCAGTCAGCGCTGGCACCGCGGGGTCACGCCACTGTGGGCTGGAACCCCCATGGGCTGAGCTCCCGCTCAGCACTGGAGGCAGCTGCCCACATCTGGCAAACATCTGCCGAGCGGCCCCGCGGCGGGAGCTGCCGGCCGTGCCGCTGCCCGTGGCGCTGCCTGCCCTGCCCGGCCCAGCGGCAGGATTAGAGGTGCGGGGACGGCGGTAATCCCGGGATCAGTGTGGCGGCAGCTAATATTAACTCCTGTGCTGCTCACAGCAAGGACAGGCACCTCGTGGCAGCATGGCGGCTCAGCAGAGCCAGTGTGAGGGTGGGGGGCTGGTGTCTCCTGCCCACTCCCCATCCCTCCTTCCCATCCCTGCTCCCCCTTCCCGCCCAGCAGACCCACAGCAGGGGATTGGCGGCGGCATGACGTGGGCCCCACCGCCACTGTGGTTCCCACCCCAGCAGGCCTGGCTGTGGCGTCATGCCGGCTCCACGGATCCTTTCACCACTCACTTTCCAGGCATTACAGCCTATTTGTTGTTTGGGTTTGGTTTTCCCTCTTGCTGCCCCTTCTCTGTCCCCAGCACGTCCCTCCCTTGGCCTTGGCTGCCGGGGCTCAGCCGGGCGGGGGTCCAGGGCTAACGTCAGCGGGGTGGTGCTGGGGTGGGACAGTCCAGGGGGAGCAGAAGCTGGAGCTGGTGCCTCCTTCCTTCCTTCCCGGTCTGGAGAGGCGCGTGGAGCCGGGATGTCTTGGCTGCACACCCTCTGGAGGCCGGCTGCCGTCGGGGCGTGAGCGGCAGCGCGAGGTCAGCCGCCGGCATTGCCTGTGGTGCTGGAAACTTGGCGGGCGCAGTCCTAGCTGCTCCGGCAGCGCCAGGGCAGGATGGGACCAGGATGGGCTGCAGCCTGACCTCCTGCCCAGCACCATTGTCCTGTGCTGCCTTCCCCTTCCTACACCCACGCCGGCACCAGGATGAGCTGCCAGCACCGTCCTTCACTCAGGACTTCCCCAAGCCTTGGTGTTTGCAGGGAGGACATGTCACCCCACAGAGCTTCCCCAGGGCACAGGGCTATGGCACTGGGGTGCAGGACCCTGCCCAGCCTTGACTGTCCTCCCCACTACCCCCTCAGTGAAGTTCATGCGAGAGGTGACCCCCTACATCAAGAAACCGTCGCTGGTGTCGGACCTGCCATGGGAGGGGGTGGCCCCACAGTCCCCCAGCCTGAGTGGCAGTGAGGACTCAGGGTCCCCCCAGCACCAGGGGCCCCGTGACCGCAAGGTGATCCCCCTCAAGATGTGCTTTGCTGCCCGGAACCTCAGCATGCCTGACCTGGAGAACAGGTGAGGGCAGGGGCTGCTGGTGGGTGCTGGTGTGCCAATATCCCCCCCCGCACCTTGTCCCGATATCCCACCCTGTTTCCTATCCCCGTCCCCTCACAGGCTGATTGAGCTGCACTCACCAGACAGCCGGAACACACTGGTGCTGCGGTGCCGGGACACGGCCACGGCCCACGCCTGGTTCAGTGCTCTGCACGCCAACATCACTGCGCTGCTGCCACAGGTCCTGGCTGAGCTCAACGCCACACTGGGCTCTGGCAGCCCCACAGCCGGTGGCCGGGAGGTGAAGCACATTGCCTGGCTGGCTGAGCAGGTACATGCCAATGGGGTGTGCTGAGATGTTCCTGGGCATGGCAGTGCCAACACGGTGTGCCGAAGATTCACTGGGGCTGTGGATGCAGCCAGAGATCCCAGCCTGGGCACTGACTACCGCTCTCCCTTCTGCTCTCTGGTAATGACAGTGCTTCCCATGCCCTAAGCCCCTCCTTGCACTGGGATTTCCTATCTGGAGATACTCCCTTCTCCATGAATTCACTGCCCGATAGCTGCAGCTGGCCCAGGCATGGTGGGCCGTGAGCAGGACCCCTGGGGGCTGCTCCTGGCATGGTTTGCCAGGATAGAATCATAGATGACAGAGGATGGCAGCACCTTGGATGCTGCCGAGATCCTGTCAGTGTGGAGCCTCTGGGTTGGGGTCCGTCTGGGCACAGGTGCATAGATTGGGGTGCCCAGGCAGTGGCAGGCACATGGTGCCCCTCACAGTGCCCTCGTGCCCGGCAGGTGCGGCTGGACGGTGGGCGGCAGCAGTGGCGGCCGGTGCTCATGGCGGTGACAGAGAAGGACCTGCTGCTGTACGACGGGATGCCCTGGACCAGGGATGCCTGGGCCTCCCCCTGCCACAGCTACCCACTGGTGGCCACCAGGTGGGCTGGGCTGGATCCCTTTGGGGACCGGTGCCCCTCAGCCAAGCTGTGGCTCTACCTCTTAGAGCAGGGGGAAACGCCAAAGCTTGGATGGGCATGCGGTGCCAGGGTGCTGGTACTGCCATGGCACCCCTGACTCTCCCCGTCCGTTCGTGTCCCACCCTCCAGGCTGGTCCATTCAGGCTCTGGGCGCCGCTCCCCTGCACTGGGCTCGGAGCTGACCTTCGCCACACGGACGGGGTCGCGCCAGGGCGTGGAGATGCACGTGTTCCGCGTGGAGACACACCGGGACCTCTCGGCCTGGACGCGTGTCCTGGTGCAGGGCTGCCACGCTGCCGCCGAGCTCATCAAGGAGGTGACTGTGGGTGAGTGCTGCTGGGGGGACCCAGAGATCCCACGTTCCCACAGTCCCGGGGCCATGGGGCTTGGCAGGGGGGCAGGGTCTCACGGTGGCCGTGCCTGCAGGCTGCACGCTGGGTGGGCAGGAGGTCCAGCTCTCCATCCACTACGAGGGTGGATTCACCATCTCCAGGGAGGAGCCGGGCACCAGCGTCCTCTTCCGCTACCCCTATGAGCGGCTGAAGATGTCAGCAGACGACGGCATCAGGACTCTCTACCTGGATTTCGGAGGCCCTGAGGGGGAGTTGGTGAGGAGTGGGCAGCCAGTCTCACCCCTTTGTTTATGGGGTTTTCCTGCAGGGGTGGTTCCTGCTTCCCCCCAACCCTTCAGTGTCCCCAGGTGCCTGGACCCGCTGGGTTTGGCTGGTTGGGGTTCCCTACCATGTGGTGCCCTCCGTGCAGGGGACTGTTTGAGTGTGTGGGGCTGACACTCTTCTCCATCTCTCCCCAGGCACTGGACCTGCACTCCTGCCCCAAACCCATTGTCTTCGTCCTGCACACCTTCCTCTCAGCCAAAGTCACCCGCATGGGGCTGCTGGCGTAGGTGCCCCGGGTCCCCTACGCTGTCAGGAACCAGCCAGGGGTCACAGAGGGACCCCCAACCTCTCCTGCCCCACCAGTGCCTTGCTGGGGCTGGGATCCCTGCCCTGGGAGTCTCCAGGAATGCAGCAGGATGGCTGCCAAGGTGGGGAAAGAGCCCCTCCTGCCCCACACCAGCACCCCCAAACCTCCCAATGCCCCAGCGGGGTGTTGGAGTACAGACACCAGCTTTAACCCCCCTGGGGCTGAAGCCATCGCTGATCTCACCAACTGTGCCTTGGAGGGTGGCCAACCTGGCCCTCACACCTGGTGGGGACCCCTGGTGCTCCCCAACCCATATCTGGGGGACCCCCCATACTCCCCAGCCCACATCACGGGGGGCCAGTCTGGGGGGCTTCCTCCAAGAGGGTCACATTGTCCCCACCTGGGGGAGAGCTGGGGCTGTGGGACCCCCCCCATTGCTGCATGAGGGGTCCCCGTGCCCTGCTCTGGGGACACACACACATTTGTCTTATGGGGGACACTCAGGGGTGCAGAGGGGGTGCCTGGGCCTGGGGTGCTGGTCCCTGGGGCTCAGCTCCCACACCCCCTGCTGCTGCCCAGCAGTGACCCCCAAACCTCCCAAAGCCAGAAAAACGCCGTGTATCTGCCCTGGGCAGGGGGGCCAGAGCCCCCCCTGGGGCTGTCCCCACCCCAGCCACTGCTGCCTGTGCCCCCCATCCCTGGGGGGTCCCCACGGGTTGGGGGCAGGACACGTAGATTGATGCACTTTCGCTTTTTGTACTTTTTCTTCCTCCTTAAGGGCAGTTTCTGTGCCCTGGGGTGCTGGGGGGTCCCAGGCAGTGCCAGAGGAGGACCCCCAGGGCTCCCCGCTCCCACCGAGGCCCCGGTTCCCCCAGCCAAACTCCTGCACAGTTCTCTGCTTCTGGGGGAGCTGCACTGGCCGGGGGGTCCCGTGGGGTCCCATGAGGTGCTGCCCCCTCTTCTATTTTTGTATTCTTTGTAAATCGCTATTTATATCAGATTGCCTTTTCCATGGACTCTGAGTCTCATTCTAGGGGTGCCTGGGGGCTAGGAGGAACAGGAGTGTTGTCAGAGTGTGTGTGTCTGCCGGGGGGGCAATTAATTCGCAGCACAACACAGGGAGAGAGGGGTCAGCTGTGCTGGGCTGGCCAGTGCAAGGGAGACTGTCTGGTGTGGGGCTACTGGGGGGATTTAGGGTTCTCTGGGAGGGCTGGGGGGTTGTCTCTGGGGATCCTGGGAGAGCCTCTGGGGAGGATTTCTGGAGGGAATGGGGGGATCTCTGGGCATGCTGGGGTGGGAGCTCTTTGGGATTTCGGGGGGTGAATGGAGCGACTTTCAGCAGTAGCAGCTGGGGCAGTGGGGCCAGTTCAGCTCTGGGACAGGTGGGCTCAACAGTAGCACAGCTACGAGCAGGTATTTGGGGAGGGGAGGTGTGTGTGTGTGTGTGGGTATATACACACTGTATGTGCACGTGTGGTGGTGTGGGGATGTGTCTGTGTGTGCGTGTGCAGGTCTATCCTGTACCCCTGGGCAGTGTGGGGGTGTGCACATGGAGGACACAGGGCAGGGGGTGTTACATGGGTGCAACTGCACGGTGGGCGTGTACACACACACGAACACACATGAGAGAGTACATGTGCAGGGGCGCCTACATGGGTGTGAACTTGTCCACGTGCACTCCGAGTGTTTGGGATGGGGGTGTTTGTGGGTGTGTCTGTGGGTGCCCATACATGGGGAGAGTGAGTGTGTCCAGGTGTCTGCGCGTGTTCGTGTGTGTGCGTGTCTGTGAGTACACAACATTGGGGGGTGTCTGTGGGTGCACACACGTGCAGAGGGTGTGGGGGGGTGTGTCCATGTGTGTGTGGTCAGTGGGTACACACACACACACACACAGACACAGGCATGCACACATGAACCCAGACACACATGAACACATAAACATGCAGCCAGGAAGACGCACGGACACAGACAGACAGACACACACAGAAGATAGACACACATGCATTTTGGGGCCGGATGTGCGCGCACCCGCGAGCTCAGTGGGCGGACCTACACGAGACCACGCCCCAATAGGCTGTACACATGTCAGGTGGGCAGGGCTACACGGTGCCACGCCCCCTGGTGGGCGGGGCGGGCAGGGGGCGCAGTGCCGGGCGGGGCCGGCAGGGGGCGCGGGGCAGGGCGGGGCCGGCAGGAGGCGCAGGCGCAGTGGGTGCTGCCGCCGCCGCCGCCGTCGCCGCCGTCACGGAGCCGCCGGAGCGGCCGCACCGGGCGATGCGATGACAACGTCCACCCTGCAGGTACCGACCGGCCACGGGGCTCCACCCGCGCCGCCCCGCGCGCCCCCGCGCCGGGCTTCTGCACGTCACTGCCAGCAGGCCGCACCGGGCCCGGCGCCGTGTCGGCCGGGGGTAGGCCTCACCCGGCCCCGGTGCCCGACTCTGCCGGGGCTGCCTCGTCCTGCCGAGACCCGGTGCCGGCGCGGCGGGGAGGGAGCGGGGCGCCGCGGAAGGGCCCTATGCGGGCGGGACCTGCCGGTGCTGGCGGTGGGGAGGGGCTCTGCAGCCAGGCCCCGGTGCCCGGTGCTCACGGCGCTGCCTCCGCGCAGAAAGCCATCGACCTGGTCACCAAAGCCACCGAGGAGGACAAGGCCAAGAACTACGAGGAGGCGCTGCGGCTGTACCAGCACGCCGTGGAGTACTTCCTGCACGCCATCAAATGTGAGACCGGCCGCGGGGGCGGGGGGTCCGGGGACGCCGGTGCTCGGGGGGCTCCGGGGGCTCACGGTGACTCCTGGGGGTCCCTGCAGATGAGGCTCACAGTGACAAGGCCAAGGAGAGCATCCGAGCCAAGTGTGTGCAGTACCTGGACCGGGCCGAGAAGCTGAAGGAGTACCTGCGCAGCAAGGACAAGCACGGAAAGAGGCCAGTCAAGGAAGCCCAGAATGACAACAAGGGGTGCGTGAGGAGCCGGGGGGCGAGGGACCCCCTGCGCAACCACAAAGCTGGCAGGGCCCTGCTGCCACACCAGGGCCCGTCCCCCTCCTAATCCTTGTCCCTTGTCCTCAGGAGTGACAGTGACAGCGAGGGTGAGAACCCTGAGAAGAAGAAGCTGCAAGAGCAGCTGATGGGTGAGGTGCCACACTGGGCTCACCTGCTGGGGTTGAGGAGGGGGTCCCCCATGGCTACCAGAGGGGTGGCTGTGGGAAGGGGAGCAGGTGTGGGACTGTGTTCCAGGGGTGTGTTGCTGCGGTCTGGCCACCCCAAAATCGTCAGCTGTGCCCAGGGGAGGTGTAGGGAGGGGCAGGGGCTCTGGCTCTGCCAGCTCTAGGTGCCTGTGTGAGCAGAGCTGTCCCCTCACAGGTGCCATCATGATGGAGAAGCCCAACGTGCGGTGGAGTGACGTGGCTGGGCTGGAGGGAGCCAAGGAAGCCCTGAAGGAGGCCGTGATCCTGCCCATCAAGTTCCCACACCTGTTCACAGGTGAGGCCGTGGCAGTGGGGAGGGGCTGTGAAGGAGGTGACACCCCCCCACGCCCTGGATGATCCCAGTGTGGATCCAGGTGTGGGGATGGTGTGTCCTGAGGCTGGGCTCTGCCGCAGGAAAGCGTACGCCCTGGCGCGGGATCCTGCTCTTTGGGCCGCCTGGCACTGGCAAGTCCTACCTGGCCAAGGCTGTGGCCACCGAGGCCAACAACTCCACTTTCTTCTCTGTGTCATCCTCCGACCTGATGTCCAAGTGGCTAGGGGAGAGTGAGAAGTAAGTTGGCAGCAGGGACGTGGGGCTGAGGCTGGCTCGAGGCTAGTCTGGTCTGGGGCAGGAACCACTAGCATCAGTGAACCCCAGTTACGGGGCTGTTTATGAAGTGTTGGGAGCTGGTTCCTCCAGAGGTGAACTCCATCCCAGGGCCTTTATCCCCTCACAGCCTGTGCCCCCCATCTTCACACACCTCCCGGTCCAATGGCGATTAGTGGGCTGGGGTCTTCTAAGACCTCATTGGAAACTTTCTCCATTCTCATCCTCTAGCTTGGGGCAGTCTTGGGGCCCTCAGGGTCTCCGCCATATCTGAAAGTTTCCCATCTGTCTGTTCCCTCCCCTGCTCAGCTATCCATGCTTAGAGTTCATGTACAGTTTACCTACACCAAACAGTGCCAAGGTGTGACCAAGTTACAGTTAAACTTAGCTCTACACAATTAATTTCTAACATTCTGTATTTAAACTTTTAATCCTGAGCAGGTTCCCAGGGGAGAGCAGACCCCTTGAGGGGCTGTGCCTCATTGGCAGTGCAGGGTTTTCGGGGTAGGAGGAACCTGGGGCTCCTCACCCTGGGGCTGCCATGGGTACTGGACGCTGGGGAGGGTCCCTGAGTGGGGACCCATCCCCTGCTTTGTTCCCAGGCTGGTGAGGAACCTGTTTGAGCTGGCAAGGCAGCACAAGCCCTCCATCATCTTCATCGATGAGGTGGACTCACTGTGCGGCTCCCGCAACGAGAACGAGAGTGAGGCAGCCCGTCGCATCAAGACTGAGTTCCTGGTGCAGATGCAAGGTGGGTGGAATCCCGGGACGGGGGTCCTGGGAGGGTGGTGGGGGTAGCAAGATGGGCCAGGCAGAAGCTGGGGATTCAGAGAACCCCTGGGGATTACTCTGAGCCATCTGCCTGCAGGTGTGGGAAACAGCAGCGATGGGATCCTGGTGCTGGGTGCCACCAACATCCCCTGGGTGCTGGACTCAGCCATCAGGAGAAGGTGAGCAGGACACACAGCCCTCCAGCTCCAAGCCCCCCAGCTCCCAGCAGGGCTGGCAGGGGCTCATAGTGGGATTCGTCCCCCTCACCCCCAGGTTTGAGAAGCGGATCTACATCCCACTGCCCGAGGAGGCAGCGCGGGCCCAGATGTTCCGGCTGCACCTGGGCAACACCCCGCACTCCCTGACGGATGCCAACATCCAGGAACTCGCCCGCAAGACTGATGGCTATTCGGGGGCCGACATCAGCATCATCGTGCGGGATGCCCTCATGCAGCCTGTGCGCAAGGTTCAGTCGGCCACGCACTTCAAGAAGGTGAGCAGGGCTGCTCTGCTCAGGGGGGCTCCCCAGGGTGGGGGGTGCCCCGTGGCTGCTGTCCTGCCTTGAGCACTATCCCACTGCCCCTGGCTCTGTGCAGGTCCGCGGCCCCTCCCGCACCACCCCCGGCGTTGTCTTGGATGATCTCCTGACACCGTGCTCGCCCGGTGACCCTGGGGCCATCGAGATGACCTGGATGGAGGTGCCCAGTGACAAGCTGATGGAGCCCATTGTCTGCATGGTGAGTGTCAGCT